GTTTCTTCCACCCTGGGTTTTGTATTTTAGCGGATGTGAAGAGCGGGATCGGCTACTAGCAGAATTGAGTCAAGCTTGGGCTGCTGTTTACCAGGCAAGAAAACACTTTTTTTTTTCATAGCCAGAAAATCTTTTTTTTACATTTTTTTTTTTATTATCACATCTGTAGTTTAATATTTAGCATAGGAGGCTCATCATTCTTATATTTTCTGTACTTAAGTTCCACTCTAATTTTAATGTTTATTTGATGCTTTCGAAGGAGTCCGATGCTTTTGTTGGACTGTATTCACATAACGGATTTCTAATAAAACTGTCAGTTTAGTGTGTTATTTAAAAAAAAAAAAAAGAAATAATTTTTTTTTTCAGCAAAGATGTATTAAATTGATCAAAAGTCACAGTAAAATATTTTGTTACAAAATATTTTTATTTCAAATAAAATGTAATATTTTTGCTAAAAATTATCTTAAATTTTAAGTAGCACAATTATGAACATTGATAAGAAAAATTTCTTGAGCATTAAATCAGCATATTAGAATGATTTCTCAAAGATCATGTGGCACATAAATTACTGCTAAAAATTCAGCTTTTCTATCACAGGAATTAAAAGGTATTTAAAAATGATAACGGATTTCTAATAAAACTGTAAGTTTAGTGTGTTATTTAAAAAAAAAAGAAGTAATAATTTTTTTTTCAGCAAAGATGTATTAAATTGATCAAAAGTCACAGTAAAATATTTTGTTACAAAATATTTTTATTTCAAATAAAATGTAATATTTTTGCTAAAAATTATCTTAAATTTTAAGTAGCACAATTATGAACATTGATAAGAAAAATTTCTTGAGCATTAAATCAGCATATTAGAATGATTTCTCAAAGATCATGTGGCACATAAATTACTGCTAAAAATTCAGCTTTTCTATCACAGGAATTAAAAGGTATTTAAAAATGTAATTTAGCAACAATACTGTTTTTACTGTATTCTTGATCAAATAATTGCAACCTTGGTGAGCATAAGAAACTTCTTACCGACGTTCTTATTAATATTATTTATTTATTTATTGAATTGATCTACAGCATGAATTTCTTCATATGTGTGTCCAGGTAAGCCTGCCTCGTAAGCCGGTGTCAGACCCGCCGATGCAGAAGAGATGTAGGGAAGCGCTGGAGCTGATGAAGAGTGCATGGCAGAGGAGTGACAGCCTACACAGAGGTCGATCAGAGAGAGAACCGTGGTGCTGACGGCCCAGGATTAAACAAGACAGCATGGGGGAGTCAGCTCACCAGCGAACCTACTGTTTACATAGGTACAAGCAGACTCAGTGAGCTCTCCAGACCAGAGACGATATTGAACAACATGGGCTCATATGATATTTATCTACCGGTAATGAGGCCTGACTTTGTTTACACTTGCCTTGCACAGATATTTAAGGAGTTACAATTAAGGCTTTAGCTTTTACAAATGGAGGTCTGCAGCAGGAAATCAAAAAGACAGAGATCTAGGAGTTCTCTTGCATTACATGTGATCAGACTATATAGAGTGTAAATACATGGTAATAACTCAAAAGGTTTCTTTTTGTTTTTTAAAACCTTCCCTCCTTGTACAAAGTCTATGGACAGATACTGTAAATGCTTGTACTATATAAAGAGGTACAGACTGCTTTGTGAGCACTTGCGAAAGAGAATTTTAGTTATGTTTACACCATTGGTATTAGCTGGCTGCTTTAAGTTAACTATTTGAAAGTAATGGTTTGCATGGCAGCTTGGCACAGACATTCAAAACACACAGTGAGAGAAAAGGGGAATTGGACCAGGCTTAATTTAGACATCTAATATCAGTCAGCACTGCTAACAGTGATGGTACGGTACCAGCATGTAATCGCTGTTGTTATATTGGACTGAGGTCATTTGTTTGGATCAGATGGCATTGAGATACTGTAATAGCGTCATACAATTCTAAAATATCATTAGTTGAAGATATTAAGGCTCTTGCAACTAAAATTACAGTTTAGAAGTGAAGGATTTGATTACAGCAGAATTGCACAAGGTTCAGAATTGCACATTCATTGGTTTTGTTTTTATTTCTTTTACTTTTGTTAAAAGATAAGTTGTGGGTTTTTCTTTTTTTTTTAATTGGCATTAAAATGATTTCCGATCATGCATAAGCATTCACAACTTTTTCGATTTCTTTTTGCGATTTGAATGCAGTCAGTCAGGCATTCGTTTAAGGTCAAACTCTTCAAAAGGTGTTAGCAGTTTTTGTTTTTTTGTTTTTTTTTTAAACACTGATCAACTGTGTTTTAGCTTTAATATCAAATCCATTGAAATGTTCCTCACTCAGTGGTATAATATACCATTTCCAGTGAAACACTGTAAAGTTGTTTTAAGAATGTAGAGTGGTTTTAAAGAAAGCAGACTTGAGTAATGTGGATCTGTGACAGACTGTGATAAATGGAAGCAGAATCTCAGGTATGTTGAAGTTTGTTTCAGTCCACAGTGATTTTAAATAATACATTGCTGGACAATGATGGAATACAGTTGTTCATTAACAATTGAAATGTGGTTTTATGTGTTTTTTTTTTTTTTTTTACATTTTTGTTTTAAATGGAGTGACCTACAGTAGTCAATTATGTTGTTCTAACACTCTAATGTCTCAGATACACTAAATGCTGCATGTACATTTTGGAATATGTCATAACATGATAACAAATATAAATAAAAATGACTTTTTTTTTTTTTAAATGGTGAAAAAGTATGAATAATTTCCTAATATTTGCATTTGTAATGACATTGACATTAAAAGGGGTAAAAACTTGTGGTCATTAACTGTGAATCTTTTTAAAACAGAATATTGTATAGTAGAACAAGAAGTTCAGAGAAATAAGGATAAATATTAAAATAATACAAACAATCCCAACATTGGCATTTAAACTGACCATTTAAAACAGGTGTTAAAGGGATAGTTCACTGCAAAATGAACATTTTCATCATTTACTCACCCTAATGTTGTTCCAAACCTGTATGTTGTTTTTTTTCCTTCTGCTGAACACAAAATAATATATTCTGAAGAATGTTGGCTGGTAGCCATTGACTTCCATAGTATTTTTTCCTTACTATGGAAGTCAATGGCTATCAGCTACTGTTTGGTTACCAACATTCTTCAAAATAAATTATTTTGTGTTAAACAGAAGAAAGAAACTCATACAGGTTTGGAACAACTTGAGGGTGAGGAAATGATGAAATATGAAAATGGTGAAATATCCCTTTAACAAATATCTACTTCATAGGTGAACTAGAAACAACACAAAGACTTAATGGTGCCATCTAATGGTAATGAACGTGACAAACTACTCCTATTTTCGGTGACATTATTGTACATTAGTAGTTGTAAGTATTTAATTCAGACCAAAATTGAACAAATCAGTGCTATAGAACTAAAATCATCTTGTAGCTTCTTGTATAGTTTTTGTTTTCCACATGCAGAAACATTTTATCAAGTCCTATAGACTAAACAACCTAAATAGTTTAGTTCACAATATGAAGGTATCCAAATTCTAGCTTGTTTCACAGTGATTTTTTCCTCAACCTCTTTCTAAAATGTCTAGTACTAATTTCCAGAAACATTTAGAGAGACGTGCAGATCCAGTGATAATGGGAAAACATCTAAAAAATTGTTTTGATATAAAAATAATTCTGTATAATTTGGACCCACATTTCCAATTATGTTCTTGCTTTCCTCATATATATATATATATATATATATATATATAGTGGCGAATTTCTGCAGTCAGGTGTCATTTCTGCTTTTCCAGTCATCCTTGCCTCTGTACTCAATGGACAGAAGGTGCTCAAACTGCCCAACCCCTTCTCTTTATTTCTCTCCCCCCTCTGTCTGCACTACCGCAGTAACATCAAAATATTAACGCACCACAGAAATGGGGGGTGGGGGGTGGGATGGGGTTTATATCAAGCAAAAAGCATCACATGGTACATACAGAGATTATTTTTTTGAGAACGTGCCAATCATTTGTACTCTAAATGTTTTTATGTCTCACAACATTACACCAAATACACAAAATACTGTTCTTTTTAGCAGCATCATGTGACCCCTTTAAGACTGACCCAGAAGTCTGCAAATACCATTCAAATTGCTAATGGCAGAGTTTAATTGCTGTTAAGTGCTAATGATTAGTGCAAGACATAAATATACACAATGCAAATAATGGCAATGCAACTAAAGCAATGTAAAGCAGTATTCCTCTCTGACTCGGCCAATTTGTTCTGGCCAATTCCTAACTTTCAGCTGGCAATGTTTCAATATCCATGCAATCCAACGTTTTACCTCTTTGCACCAAAGGGTTTTGAACCGTGATGGTCCGTCCTTCCAATAGATTGTGTACATCTTTAGGCAATAAGATTTATGCTCCTTCTAAAACACAATTTAGTGCATTTAGTCTATAGCAGGGCTGCCCAAACTCGGTCCTGGAGGGCCGGTGTCCTGAAGAGTTTAGCTCCAACCCCAATTAAACACACCTGAACCAGCTAATCAAGCTCTTACTAGGCATACTAGAAACTTAAAGGCAGGTGTGTTGAGGCAAGTTGGAGCTAAACTCTGCAGGACACCGGCCCTCCAGGACCGAGTTTGGGCACCCCTGGTCTATAGTGTATTTGAGACCGGATTTATGTGGAATCCTAATGCATTAAAATTTGGTCATCACCTCAGTCTCAGATGAATAGTGATTTAAGTGAATGTCTGCCTGTATATGACACTGCGTTTTGCATCCGTCTTTAACAGGAAACAGGATATATGCATTCTTGTTGCAAAGTGTATTTACATGTGTTTTTCCTTGCTGAAGATGAAAGGATAGGCTCGTATGCCAGAGGATTTACGGTAAGTGTCCCTCTGGTGCTGCGGAGACAGGGATGCAGTGAATGAAAGAGAGCGAGAGAGAGAGTGCAGAGATGCTGCAGACCCACTGCTGCCCTTGTTTTGTCTCATCCGCTTATAGAGGCACTTAGTGCATTTCCTCTGTCTCCTCTCCTGCAGCTCTTCTTTGGGGCCGGAAATGCACTTATACTTTTATCTCAAATTAAATTTGTGCACATAATTTATTGGGCGCTGATGTTCTGCAGGAGTGCCTGGACTGGAACATGGGACTGTGTACATAGATCAGTTGTACTGAGGCTCTGAATGTGAGTTAAAAGACCTAGTCTCTTCTAGCTCCACCTCAACGTTTGATTCTGGCTGTCTCTGATTATCATGCTGAAGAAGAGGAACCCTGAGGTGCTGATGGACCGGGAGGTTCTGCTGGATCTGGACTACAGCGGCGAGACTCATGTTCCAGACAGTTATGGAAGCCTGAAAAATGGGGGTTTCATCCCACCCAGATATGTGAGTGTACTGATCTGTGTTGTACAGCATTATGTACTGATGCATACTTTATGAGATACATTTGTTCATCAAAACAAGAGTTCTAGTTGCTTTGTGTAGCAATACTCATTGCAGAGCTGTTTGTTTGTGTGCTAAAATTGCTGTTTAATTAGCACATGACTTTGCTGATTAGGCAACCTGGTGGTTTGTGTTAATGCAGAAAATAAACATATTTATAAAGGATGTATTAATTATGTTTTGCTATTGGGTTAAATCCTTAATTGTTTTTACCTGTCTTACTTAAATAAAACCCAGTATAGTTGTCATTTTTGTCAGATTGTCATTTACAACAGTTAGTTCCCAACTTCCAGTCCTTGAGTTTGATTGGCCGAGCAGCAGTCCAACTGCTAGACTTTTCACTGTATCTATCACTCCGCTTGTCTGTTTGTGCATTCTAGACAGACTGTCAGTCTGTGCATTAGTGGTGATTTTTCCAGTGACTCTTTCTGTAGGGTTACATCATTACACCAGTAGGTGGTAACAAGTGACAGCCTTTATTAATGAGTCATTTAAATCATTCACTCAACCTGTTCCTTCAAAAACACTGATTAATTTCATTCTTTTGATTCATTCTTTTCACATTACACAACTGTTTATCGTCACTGATGTTATTTCCAGTCACTGATGTTATTTCCAGTCAGAACACACTTTATACTGAAGGTTGATTTGCAAATTAGTCAAAATATTTAATGCTGCCCGCAAACCACTAACCCTGATTTTCCACTCATCAACAGTTAATGGAGTAAAAAAAAAAAAACTAATTCAGTGCTTTTTTACACGAGTTATGATCGCTATGGTATGTGTAAATGTTCAAAGACAATCTGAGACAAGTGACGATGCATCGCAATTGTCCGAGAAATATGTATCTGGTAATGTCATCCTCCACCTGATTTCAGCCCTGATTCTCCAATTAATAGTTTACACAAAAAAATTTAATTTGCTGAAAATGTACTCACCCTCTGGCCATCCAAGATGTAGATGATTGTTTATTTATCAAAAAAAAAACAGCCTAAGTTGTCTGGCTGGTTTTAGCTGGTCTTCCAGCCTGGTCATAGCTGGTTTGCAGGCTAGTTTTAGAGGGGTTCTGATTTGGATAAATTAAAGATCAAAATGAGAGTTCAAACCGCTGATAAAAATATTACAATAATTAATTGTAAAGTGAAAATCTACATGTTTGTAATAAACAAATTAATCTTTAAGATGTTTTTAACTTCAAACAGTTATTTCCAGTTAAAATATTGCTTTCTCCAGTGAAAAAGTCATCTCATCTGAATTAGTAGAGAAATATGCACAGATCAAGCACTATTTACAAGTGAAAACTGTTCTGAACCATTTTAAACAAATATATTGGTGGATTTTGATGTGACAGGACAACGGGGTGGACTTTTACAGTGCTTATATGAGTTATGACTTATGGACTACATTGGCCAGATGTAAAAAGATAAAATGATGGATTTGTTTCTTACAAACATGCAGCAAAGGCATAGTTTATGGACCAGTGTCATGCGAATTACTTGTGTATTATTGTTAGGTTTTTATCAGCTGTATGAACTCTCATTCTGACGGCACCCATCACTGCAGAGAATCCATTGGTGAGCAGTGAATGCTTAGTTTCTCAAAATCTTAGTTTCGATGAACAAATAACTCGTCTGCATCTTGGATGGTCTAAGGGTGAGTACATTTTCAGAAATTTTGTTAGAACTATTCCTGTAAGGTAGTTTGCCAACAAAAGCCTTAAATTGGATCGCAACGGTATGTGTGACTTTTCAAAGACGCGGCCTGAGCAGTGAATGCTTAATTTCTCAAAATCTTAGTTTCGATGAACAAATAACTCGTCTGCATCTTGGATGGTCTGAGGGTGAGTACATTTTCAGAAATTTTGTTAGAACTATTCCTGTAAGGTAGTTTGCCAACAAAAGCCTTAAATTGGATCGCAACGGTATGTGTGACTTTTCAAAGACGCGGCCTGAGGGAAGCGCTGTTCGCAGTTATGTGGCCCACGCGCTAGATGATTTTAGCTCTGATTTTGCGCTTAATACTATTTATTAACACAGAAAAAATAATAGACCAACAGCTCCTTTGTTCTGCGTTGCTTAAATATATTCATGTTGTCATAACAGTTGAATACTGCGGTTAATGATGAGGATGATGACCCCATATATGTTCATTGTGAGCGGACCTCAAGCCCACCTGTTCACCCCTCGGGCAACTACCTCAGAGACGGCCAAACAAAAATAGGTAATGGTTTGATAAAAACGATATTAATGTGCCAACCGCATTGCTTCCCAAGTAGGCACATTAAGCCTATTCGCTCTTGCCCCAGACTTTGTGCTGGTGTGGGAGGTGAAGGTGCGTCGCAAGCGTCGAAGTCGGGGACAGTCGCAAGGGGAGGCTGCAGAGGAGGCAGTAGAAGCAGCACAGGAGGAGAGCAGGTCAGAGAGAAGAAAAGCTCAGCTGGCCCGATGGAGGCACAAATTCATCCAGAACCTCCAGAGTGCTGGACTGTTGTAAAAACGATATTAATATGCCAACCGCATTGCTGCCCAAGTAGTCACATTAAGCCTATTCGCTCTTGCCCCAGACTTTGTGCTGGTGTGGGAGGTGAAGGTGCGTCGCAAGCGTCGAAGTCGGGGACAGTCGCAAGGGGAGGCTGCAGAGGAGGCAGTAGAAGCAGCACAGGAGGAGAGCAGGTCAGAGAGAAGAAAAGCTCAGCTGGCCCGATGGAGGCACAAATTCATCCAGAACCTCCAGAGTGCTGGACTGTTGATGGAAAAGGTTAAGCTATTAGGTTAATTTTCAACCAGTGCAATCAATGCCTTTTATGGTACTTACCGTGTTGTTTCTAATGGTTTTCTCTTTATTATCAGGAGGAATCATCCAGTGTAAAAAAGACTATACACTATCTGAAGCTCCATGCTCCATGGGATGTGTTGGTGTACTACGCTGAGGAGTTTTGTCTTAGAGCACCTCTGCAGGTTAGAGAGCCATGTTTTCGTATTCACCTCCCCAACTTAAAAACCGAGGGTTTAAAATAACTCTAGAATCAAGTGAAGTGAGCTCTGAAATGAGTTGTATATGTTTATTGAAAGGCACAGCCACACCCAGACTTCAACACTTCTGCTCAAGTTCTTCAGAAGCTCTGGGTGCCGAACATCATGAAAGACTCAGTCCCCAACCGTCCTGTGGACTACTACACATGTGTCTTCCGCAAGTCCAAAATGGAAAAGTTAGGCTTTTTTTTTCTAGGAGTGTACAAGGTGATCATCTACTTGCAGAAACAGATGTGTAAATATAGCTATTTACTTTGACTTTCAGGTTTCTGGGCTCTGATGACCGTGAAAACTACTTCACCAACACACAGAGACACCGCATTGTGAGTGTGCTGTAAACAGCCACGAGAAAAGCAGAATTGGGTATCACATAGTTGCAATAGTGTAATAAATGATTACATACACTAACGTTCAAAAGTTTGGGGTCAGTAAGATTTTTTGTTTTTTTTAAATAAGTCTCTTTTGCTCAACAAGGCTGCATGCATTTGATCAAAATAACGTTTTTATTTTTTAATATATATTTTTTAAATTTAATATATTCATGTGATGGCAAAGCTGAATTTTCAGCAGCCATTGCTTCAGTCTTCAGTTTCATGATCCTTTAGAAATCATTCTAATATGCTGATTTGATGCTCAAGTAACATTTCTTCTTCTTATATCAGTGTTGAAAACAGTTGTTGTGACACTTAAATATGTTTGAGGAAACCTTGATGCATATTTTTCAGAATTCTTTGATGAATAGAATGTGCAGCTTTTATTTAAAATAAATATTTTTGTAACAATGTAAATGTCTTTATTGTGACGTTTGATAAATTTAATGTATCTTTGATGTATAAATGTGTTGATTTCTTAAAACTCTTACTGACTTAAAAGTTTTGAATGGTAGTGTATATGATGGAATAAGTGTATGATAATTGCTTACACCTATTCTCATCGCAGGTGTATGAAATCTTAGCAAGGACTGTGTATGGCAGGAGGAAGCGTGCAGAAGTTGGAGTCGCTCGTCTAATGAATGAGGGGGCTTTTACGGGTGCATTCCCTCTGCATGAGGTTAGGCACAAGACACCATATACTGCAATGTGCCTCAAACGTGTCTTATTAGAAGTACAGCAATGCACTTAAAACATGTATGTCTTATTAAAAGTACACCTTCATACTCTGTCAGCTTTTTTCTTTTTTAAAGGGACCATTTGAGCTCCCAGGTTGTGACATGCAGCCCGATCAGTTGAACAAGAGGCAGGTACTGTACCACTACTGGTCCAACTGGTTAAAATGGTATAAGTACCAGCCTCTAGATCACATCCGTGAATACTTTGGAGAGAAGATTGCGCTTTATTTTGCATGGTTGGGTGAGTAGGCACCATAGATCCTATTCATATTTGCGTATGTGTAATGCATATTACAGACATATTTTTTATACATTCATATTTTTTTATATATTATTATTTTTATATATTTGTTAGTAATATAGTCATATATTTGTTATTAAATTAAATAAAATTATATGATATATGTTTTGAAACCCATTGCCTAGGCATTGCTAGTGTCACAAACCACAAAAACAAGTACTGTCAATATATTACCAATTATAATAACCAATAATGACCAAAATCTACTGTTTACAGGATTTTACACAGCCTGGCTTTTGCCTGCTGCATTGGTTGGGACGTGCGTCTTTGTTTCGGGTATTTTGACAATGGGATCCAATACCCCAGCGTAAGTGTTAACCATATTATCGATTAACACAGTGTTTCAGCTGCTGCACTGAACTTCTTTCTGCTCTACATGACTCACACATTTAGTGCTCCTCTAAGCTATTTCGCTGCTATCAGAAATAATGTCATATCAGTGGGCTTTATGACCTTTATTTGTTACTATAGCAACTGTTGACCGCATGTACTTGAAGGACTAATAGCGATGAGTTGGAAATATTTGCTGCAGTTTACACCTCAGAATAAGCAAGCAAAATAATGAGAATCAGAGAGCAAGAGACCGTAAAGCAAACCAAAATTGGAAGCACTGTATGTGTCTATATCATTGAAGCATTCATTTGTACACTTTGCCTCCTTGGTCTATTGATCTTAACATAAAACTATACTATTGCTTCTAGTAACCACACTCTTACTACATTCCTACCAGATTTCTAATATTTTCTTATGTTTTATCAACACAATTTCACCAAGACAATGTACTTCAAAAACACAGGCTGTATGTTTGCTTTCATTTTAGTTGTACCATTGTTGCCTGTTTCCATTTGCCATCTACAGGAAGGAAATCTGCGAGAGTGGAGGATTTTATCTAATGTGTCCTCTGTGTGAAACCTGTAAACCCTGGAATATATCAGACATCTGTCCCATGGCCAAGGTAATCAGATGAGTTGAGTATATTGTCTATATATGAAAGACACAATATTGTAGAATTTGATATGCTTGTATACAGTAGTTTATGATTATGTGTATGGAGTACATACTGACTATGGAAAATATGCATTGGTGTTTAAAATGTTGGGATCAGTAAGAATTTTAATGTTTTTTCAAGAAGTGTCTTATGCTCATCAAGGCTGCATTTATTTGATCAAAAATACAGAAAAAAACAGTAATCTTGAAAAATGTTATTACAGTATAAAATAATGGTTTCTATTTTTATATCCTTTAAAATATAATTTATTTCTGTGATGCAAAGCTGAATTTCCATCATCATTGCTCCAGTATAAAGTGTCACATGATCTTCAGAAATCATTCTAATATGTGTTTTTCTGTATTTTTTATCAAACAAATACAGCCTCGATGAGTACAAGAGGCTCCATTAAAAAACATTTTCTAACAAATCTTACTGATCCCAAACCTTTGAACGGCAATGAAGTTGTTTTATGTCATATAATTTTTTGAATGTAGCATGGTCAATAGTAATATAAAAACAGGTGATGGTTAATCTCAACTCTTCTTTAGGTGGGCTATCTGTTTGATCATCCCGGCACTGTCTTCTTCAGTGTGTTCATGTCTTTGTGGGCCGTCACGTTCTTGGAATACTGGAAACGCAAGAATGCCACTCTCGCTCACCACTGGGACTGCATGGATTTCCATGAAGATGAGGTTTAACGTGTTTTGTTTTGTTTTTGATTATCGAATTTTTTTGGCCCCTTTCACAGCAGAAAAACTCAAGAAGGCACTGTCCTTATGAAACAAACAAAACTAATTCTAATTGAAATAAATCAACATTTAGAAAATTTGGTTTGTTTTAAGGACGTTTAGATATTTGTTACTCAAAAACAGGACAAAACTGTATATATATATATATACAGTATATATATATATATCCTCCTGACTACCAGGAAAAAACAGTTTTGTGAATTTAGTATTTTGTCATGTCATTGATGGGCAAACTTGGCCCTTCCAGGCCACTTTCTTGCAGAGATTTGATCCAACCCTGATATGATTCACCTGCCTGTAGCCTTCTAGTAGTCTTGAAGACAATGATTAGCTGGTTCAGGTGTGTTTGATTAGGGTTGGAGCTAAACTCTGAAGGAAAGTGGCCTGGGAGGGCCAAGTTTGCCCACCGATGTGACACTGAAGACTGGAGTAATGGCTGATAAGTTATATTTTAAAGTATATTAAAATAGGAAACCAATATTAGAATTGCAATAATATTTCACAATATTACTGTTTTTCTGTATTTTTTATCAAACAAATACAGCCTCGATGAGTACAAGAGGCTCCATTAAAAAACATTTTCTAACAAATCTTACTGATCCCAAACCTTTGAACGGCAATGAAGTTGTTTTATGTCATATAATTTTTTGAATGTAGCATGGTCAATAGTAATATAAAAACAGGTGATGGTTAATCTCAACTCTTCTTTAGGTGGGCTATCTGTTTGATCATCCCGGCACTGTCTTCTTCAGTGTGTTCATGTCTTTGTGGGCCGTCACGTTCTTGGAATACTGGAAACGCAAGAATGCCACTCTCGCTCACCACTGGGACTGCATGGATTTCCATGAAGATGAGGTTTAACGTGTTTTGTTTTGTTTTTGATTATCGAATTTTTTTGGCCCCTTTCACAGCAGAAAAACTCAAGAAGGCACTGTCCTTATGAAACAAACAAAACTAATTCTAATTGAAATAAATCAACATTTAGAAAATTTGGTTTGTTTTAAGGACGTTTAGATATTTGTTACTCAAAAACAGGACAAAACTGTATATACAGTGGGTACGGAAAGTATTCAGACCCCCTTAAATTTTTCACTCTTTGTTATATTGCAGCCATTTGAGCATACGAAAAAATGTGAAAAATAAGATTTTTGAAAAATGATATTTTATTCATATGTTATGTCCTCTGTAGAGGACATCGGGACTTTAAAAAGTCCTGTTTAAAAAAAAATAAAAAGACATGAATAGACATGAAAAGGCAAAAAGAGTGGGATTTTTGTTTTAACCAGAAATCAATTTTCATTTTTTTTATACCAAATGATGATTTTTTTTTATACCAAATGATTCTCAACTATGTTATGAAAGATATTTTTAAAAACCATGTTTTTTATGCAAAATGTGTGCAAAATGGCCATAAACTAGTTTTTCCATTATATACAATGTATCTATATGGGAGTAATAATTAGCAAGAGTTTGATAATAATATCTAATATTTAATAGGAATACTGATATATATATTTTTCTCTATTCATTTGTTGTCTCCCAAAATGTGTAATAAACATGCTTTAAGTCCTGGTGTCCTCTACAGTGGACATGTATGAAATTGATGTAGGACATCCAGACTTAAAACTGTGACATGTAACGTCTCAGAGAAATCGCTAAAACATAATGTCCTCTACAGTGGACAAAACTCCATAGCTGGTAGTCAGGAGGATACATATACATATATATATATATATATATATATATATATATATATAGTTATTTATTTAATTATTATTTTATTTATTATTTCTAACATTGTGTGTTTTATTAGATTGCCAATGTATATCAGAAATAGTTAAAAATATCTTTTTATTTTTTTAATGAGAAGGAACCACCACGTCCTGAGTTTGTTGCCATGGCTCCTGCAATGGAGGAAAACCCAGTGACAGGAGTAAAGGAACCCTACTTTCCTGAAAAGGCCCGGATTTCACGCATTCTGACCGGCTCTATGGTCATTGTTATAATGGTGAGACCCACTGGAGTTGTCAGAGGTTTAATGGAGCTACAAATTTTTAAAGACCAAAGAGAGGGAGTGTTCATGGTGAAACATTCAATCATTTGATATCTCTGAAAAGCCCTGAATGTGCTCTGTACAAGACATCCAGATTTAAAACTGTGACATGTAACGTCTCAGAGAAATCGGTTAAAATATAAGATAACTTACCGTACTGCTCCATTTCATTAATCTCCTCCGCACCTGCAGTAGCTCTTGAACTCTGAATCCACTCCGCACACACATTTTTTTTTTCTTCCAGGCTGGGAATATTGCCAATATCTCCAGCAGTTTGGTGAACCTGGCTTTGATCTTGCTGATGGGGCAGGTCTACACAGCCCTGGCAGAACAGCTCACTAAATGGGGTAGGCTTTCTGCACACATCAGACCCCATAAAGCAACACAAGCCCAGGGCTTTCAATCAAATCAGGCCAGTGTTGCCGTTTTGTGTGGTTCAGGGTAATGAACCTGCCCATCCACACTTGCTTTGAGAATCAATAAGCCATTAGGACTCTAGTCCTTAGTCCTACTTTCTGTGGCAGTTACAATAAAGCTTTGAGACACATACATGCCATCAAATAAGTCTAATTTATCTTGTTTCCCCAAATAAGGCTCTTTCTGAAACATTTTTCCCTACAGAAATGCACAGAACACAGACACAATATGAAGATGCCTTTACATTCAAAGTCTTCATCTTCCAGTTTGTCAACTTTTACTCGTCGCCCTTCTATGTAGCCTTCTTCAAGGGCAGGTAACCTTTTAAATTAGCCTACCAGACCAAAGCATTTTGTGCCATAATTGTCCAGATCAAAGCTTTCAGTGCACTTTTATTGTTTGTTTTTTTATTGCAGATTTGTGGGCTATCCTGGTCATTATGGCACACTATTCGGGATGCGGAATGAGGATGTGAGTGCTTTGCCTTCAGTTTTATGATTACCGATTAGCGGTCATTACTCAACAATATTTTGTAAAAAGATCGCAAATCAGAGTCATGTATTCAAGACAGCCTTGTAATAAAGGCAAAACATTCACAATAGGTTGCACTGTATTTGTAGCTTTTTCAAAACAGAAGTAGTTTTCCTGTATACCGTTGAGACATTTGGTGTCAGTAATATTTATTTTTAAAGAAAATAATACCTTTCTTCAGCAAGGCATTAAATTGTGCAAAAGTTACAGTAATTTCCAATGAACGCTGTTTATTTGAACTTTCTATTCATCTTCAGCATTGATAATAACAAGAAATGTTTGAGCACCAAATCGGCCTATTGGAATGATTTATGAAGGATCATGTGACACTGAAGACTGGAGTAATGGCTGCTGAAAATGTAGCTTTGCATCACAGGAATAAATTACATTTAAAATATATTAAAATAGAAAACAGGTGTTTTAAATTAATAATATTTCTCAAAATGGTTTTTTACACTATATATCTAACTAAATAAATGCAGCATCTGTGAGAATAAGAGATTTATTTCAAAAATATTAATGACTGTGCATGTGTGGTTGCAGTGCGGACCAGGAGGTTGTCTGATAGAACTGGCTGAGCAGCTCTGCATCATCATGGTGGGAAAACAACTTATCAACAACGTTCAGGAGTTTGTCATCCCGTACGTTTCTCCCTCAGTGCCTGACTAGTCATATTTATTGGAGCTGCACATAAAAGCTTATTCTATTGTAGAGCAAACCACACTTGAAGACTTCTTAAGTCTCAACACTGCAGAATCCAAATGATTTTATTTGGTCCTCTGAGAAAAGCAAGTCAGCAGTGTAGGTCAGTGCTGCAGGGTTGGAAGAGCAATCTTCTGTGGAGGTTGTGTATGTGTGGGTCAGGCTTAGCCTACATTGTGGAAAACATATTGAATAATTAATAAACATTCTAATGAACATCTTAAACTGCAAAAGCATTTCTGTGAGGGTTAGATTTATGGGTAGAGGAGAGAAAATATTTTATTTATAAAACAATAGAAGTCCCTACAATCATAGATGGGCTGTGTGCTTTCATGCAGCAGTACGAGAATAAAAATACGTAAATGTAAGCAAGAATAGCTGTTTTTACTGACTGATTTGTATATTGATTCATCTGTAGATATCACTGTAGGGTGCAATGAGCAGACAGATGACTGCATCACTGCCAATACTGCAGCATGTCTCTCCTCTAAGGCGGCAATTCTAGTGGTTTAGCAGAATAAATGTGACACAGGAGAAGCTTTTAGCACTCCCTTATCAATTATGCTTCACCAGAGTCAAACTCAGGCAAAACCGGATCTTCCAAATGAGCACAGTTCTATTTTAGACCTAGAAATAGCCTCAGAAGAGCCATCATCATTATCATCAACAGAACACCGTGTCTATTGCTTTGGTTGTCTCATTCTCTCTTTCCCTCTTTCTGCTTTTCAGTAAAATAAAGGCTTGGAGACAGAAACGGGCCTTATCATCTGTGAAAAAGGCCCAGAAGGCAGAGGAGCCCAAGTGCTGGGAGCAGGACTATGAGTTGATTCCATGTGAGGGGCTTTTTGACGAGTATCTGGAGATTGGTAAGATGATAATATTTCTCTTTTTAATTAGATTTTTTGTTCCAAGTTTCTGTCAAAAAATGTGTAACTACTGACGCTGGAACATAATGGACCTCATTTCTTGAGGGGCACCAGCAGTCCCGGCTCACTTGGTGTACTAGACAAGACATGACAAGTAAAAAACATTTCTAACAGCCTAGATCGTTATATAAGAGTAAGTACATTACCAGTCAAAAGTTTGGGGTTAGTAAGTTAGTAACCCAAAACTTTTCAACAGTAGTATTTATAATAGTGAATTTCTTGTCATAGTCATTTCTGCTAATGTAGCATATTTTTACCTTACTGTAATCATGCAACTTATTATAAACTTTAAATGGATGTTACATTTCTGTACAGATGCTCTTGCTATGCTTGTAATAAACTTACACTATTGGATCTTCATTGCTGCTAGTCCTGCAGTTTGGCTTCATCACCATTTTTGTGGCGGCCTTTCCTCTGGCTCCTCTCTTCGCCCTGCTAAATAACTGGGTGGAAGTGAGGCTGGACGCTTATAAGTTTGTGTGTGAATATCGGAGACCCGTGGCAGAGCGAGCCCAGCACATCGGTGTGTGGTTCATCATACTGGAGGCGCTGTCCCACGTGTCTGTCATAGTCAATGTGAGTGCCTACAAAAATGAGTAATATTTTTGATACTTAAAGTATCAAATCAGCAAAATCTAGGTGGAATTTTGCAGTAAAAAATACTCCATTGTCAATAGTGATGTATGAAGCACAGCTCACACAGATGTGAAGCCGCTTTCTCATGGTCAGCACGACAAATTCACATGACCAAATTGAACACAGAGTAACAGTTAATGTGACCGCACATTTAGTGTGATATTGGACATTTTTTTTTGTGTTGTACATAAATGACTTGTCTTGTTACGTTACATTAATCCAACATTATTTTTAACATCTTGCCAGGTTTCAGATTTGCTTGTGATTTTTTTTTTCTTTTCTTTTTCCCCCACAGGCTTTCCTCATTGCATTTACCTCAGATTTTTTGCCTCGCCTGTTGTACCAGTACAAGTTTAACAATGACCTGCATGGTTATGTCAACTTCACGCTGGCTTACTCTCCACCCAGTTATAACTACTCCAGTCATACTGTGTGCAGGTAACATTGCTAATGCCGTTTTCTAGTGCAGGAAATCTGAATATATCAGTTTTGCAATGTGAACTTGCAAAAATATGTTTTTTTCTCTTATTTCAGGATTAAAAAAAAAAAATCTTTATTGTATTTTGTATTATTGTATTATCTTGTTTCTCAGGAGTGTCCTGGCTGTTGTACAGTTTTGCAGTAGAGGGGAAAATTATTAATCAAAGCAGTGAACTGTAAAATTGTAGCTGTCAGCACGGTTCGATTTTCTTCTCTTGTGGTCTTTTTTGTTTTTTTTTGTCATGACTTTTCTTGTCAGATATAAAGCATTTCGGGATGAAAATGGAAAATACACGCTGGTGTATTGGGAGCTTCTGGCTGTAAGACTGGGCTTTATCATTGCCTTTGAGGTGATCATTGATCTTCCTCCTGCAAACCACATCACAGTCATATTCTTCCTTGAATTTGAGCTTCCCAGTATACACTGTGACCAATTAAAAGTCGACATGAAATCAAAATTAACCCCATTTACTCTGGTACATAATGTTAACTTTTCATTAAAGTTCCAGCCTTTATTTAGTTATTTTTTAATTAAATAAACAGAAATTACACTGTACAAACACATTCGACAGTAAAGAGCATCTCACACACACAAGGAAAAAAAAACAATACATAAACTAATTGACCTAATGTACAGTATATAATAATATTAAATAGAATTGTTTAAAATACTAAATAAAAAAATACATTAGTAAATGAATGAACAAATCAAATATAATGGAAAGCATTGATAAGTGAATTGGAGAAAAGTGCTTTAAGCCATATAAATATCACCAAAGTCTTTCTTATATTTATATCAGATATTTATATATAGGTCTATATATCAATAATCTATCCCTTTTTCATTATTAATTAAATAAATAAAGAGATTTAAAAAGTCAGTCTATGTCAACTAAAAATGTGAGAGTACATTTTCTGAATATCATGCTCTACCCAGAAATATCTTGCATTACGATAGTAAAAATGCTTTGATGATGGCAATTTACATTTTCTGTATAATGACCTGATTGTTTACAGTCTTTTTATTATTATCTAATAATTATTTCTATTCTGTGGTCATCTTAATAAAGTGTGTGTACTCATCCTCAGCATGTGGTGTTCTTCGTCCTGCGTGTCATCGACTGGATGGTTCCCGACATCCCTGAGTCCTTGGAGCTGAAGATCAAGCGGGAGCGTTACCTGGCTAAGCAGGCTTTGGCTGATAACCAGGAGGCCCTGCTGGTGAGTAGCTTTAGCTGATGTTAGTGCACATAGTGATGTCCACAACCTTCAGTGCCCACTCACTGTGAGCCATGCTTATTCTCATTACCACTCACACCAGAGAGCTCAGAGACTGAGGCTGCATCCAAAAACTTAGGCAGCTGACCTGATGCCTCGCTGCCTGATTGCACACAAAGGTACCTCACAAAACTAATTTCAGACAGACTTCAGGCAGCAGAACAGTTTATTGATCTACAACAAAACAGAGAGAACTTTGGTGGTTTGGAAATCAGAAACTGACCACCAACCACAACTTTCGGACACCATTTTAACTTTTTAGCTCAGGTGTCACAGAATTGAATGCACAGCAAAGGATACATCTATGCCATCTCAGGAGACAAGAAGTGAAGCTAACATTGGATTCAGACATACCTTGATGCCTCCCTACTTCAGAATGCATCCTTCTAAGGGGGCTGCATTTTTCTGTTTTCAGACGCAGCCTGAGATTTTATTACTGAGGAATATAACAAGTCTTCATGTTGTTCGACCTAGAGCAGAGCTTCAGTGCTTGGCCTTGTGTCATGACCAAAAAAACAGAAAAGGCTTTGAAATATACACTACCAATCAAATATTTTTAATTTAGCAATTTTAAAATATATTAAAACAGAAAACAGGTGTTTTATATTGTACTAATATTTCACAATATTACTGTTTTACTGTATTTTTGATCAAATAAATGCAGCCTTAATGAGAATAAGAGACTTCTTTCAAAAACATTAAAATATCTTAACAACCCAAAACTTTAAGTTCACACATTTAAATAAATGTAATGATAAATTTAATGCTGTTTTCCTTTAATTTCCTTGCTATTTCTTTTTATTTCTATTCATCTCCATTTTCACAAAAATCTAATTTTTTAAAAATGAAATGAATGTGTGACATAGTTCCAGCACTCTAGTAAAAGTGGAGCAAAGACCTTGGAATTCCCGGTACTTTTTTTTACTGCCCTGGTTTATGTACTTCATATATTCTGTAGAGTAGAGGGGGGAAAAAGATCAAAACATTTTTCAACCCACTTTTCTGGAAAATATGTGTTAGGATGATGCTCTGCTTCGGCTTTTTTAAGGTCAGAGTGTATATTTGGCTATGTGCGCTGGATTCTGAACAGTGACGTAATGGAATATTCAAAGTTATGGGGAACCAAATGTAAAAGTTTAAGAGTCTGCCACTGAAAAACCATCATTCTGAATATTGCCAGGATTTCAATGTTTGTGCTGGTTATGTCTCTGTTCTAGGGTATATTGTTTTTAATTAAGTTGTATTTAAAATTTTACTTACTTTAATAGTTTAGAAACAGACCTGCCTCTGAATAGATTTAAAAAATATTTAAAATGTATCATTTAAAAAAAATTATAATTAAACATGCTTGTCATCATTTACTCAAATTTTTCTACACCTAATAGTAATAGTTTCTTTGGTCTGTTGAGGACAAAAGAAGCTATTCTGAAGAATGCTGTTAACCAAACAGTTGCCGGTACCCAATAACTTTCATAGTATTGAAAAAAATTACCATGGAAGTCAGTGGCTACCATCAACCATCTGGTCACCAACATTCTTCATAATACTTTCTTCTGTGTTCAGCAGAAGAAAGAAACTCATACAGGTTTGGAACAACTTGAGGGTAAATTTGGGGTGAGCCATCCCTTGAATAAAATTTTGTGACTAATTGAGGATGCGTCTAAACAATGTACTTCTTTCTTTTTTCTTCTTATTTCTCTGCTTTTCTCCTTGTATGCTGGTCCTTGAAGCAAGCGAAGCGCCTCGCTACATGAGACTGACATGCAGGGCAGGGGCTTCTCCAGAAGGGGGCACAGTCGCTAAGAAAACACTTTACACCCTTAGAAGTGATCCAAGAGGGACTTGTTTTGAAAAAAAAAAAAATGCACTTGGACTGAAACTTGGCTTGGTTTTGTGCTGGTTGATTGAGTGTGTGTGAGCATGCATTTCAAAATGTAGAGGTCTATGCCAAAATTGTACACTACCATCTCTACTTTAGCAAACGGCTGTTTACATATGACTTCCTCTGGCTCCAACTATACTAAGACATGTGATCACCTACACATCTCACTATCTCTGCCCTTCCGATATATGATATATTCCTGTTCGGATTTAGTGGGAGGACAGGGAGGTTTGATTTTCTACATTAATACTAAAGTATATATTTGTACTGACAAAATGAAAATTGTGAAAGACATCAAGAAGCCTATTCTACATTGTGTTAGTGTGAAATGCTTTTCTGAATAATACCTTAATATATTTGCATTTGTCATGTCTATCTCCGGGCTGTTTAAGGAATTATGTTTTAAAATAAAGCTAGTTTCAATAACCGTTCAAAAACCATTGAAGTGTTTACATGCTGGAGGACAGGATTTAAAAGGATAGTTTAGCCAAAAGTAAAAAAAAACTCATGTCATTCCTTCCTTTGTTCGGTGGAACACAAAAGATGTGTTAACTAATGTTTCAAGCTTCAAATAAGCACTGTAAAAAAGGATCATAAGTGGTCCGTAAGACATGTGCATTATATTCCATATCTTCTGATTTTAAATAGGACTGCATTATTTGGGCAAAAAATTTAATTCTGTGTAAAATGTAATTTCTGATAATTTTTTTTTTTTAATAATTGCAACCTTTAAAAAAAAAAAAAAAAAAAAACCTCAAGGTTTACTGTGCTTGTTTGTAGGGTTGCACAATTTGGAAGAAATAAAAAGGAAGCAATTATCAATATGACCATGTCTTAAAAAACGCTTCTCATTACAAATTAGGAAAAATGGTTGGTGCATGTTGCATTCCTAAATGCACATCATAAGCAAGCTAAATGCAACGCTTGCAAAAAAGAGTTTGTATAGATAAGCATTTCCTGCAAAACAACCCACTAGAATCACTGGATCATGAGCTGCTCTGTGCCGTGCTTCACTCTGAAATGCTAGTGCATATATTTATTTAGCAGTTTTTTAATTGTGCAGCCCTACTCCTTAAGCCATATAGGTTATGTAATAAACATAATGAAATGTAAATCATGCGTCACTGAAAATTTTGTGGTCACCGTTTTGTGGTCACCATTCACTTTCATTGTATGAAAAACAGCAGCTTGAACATTCTTCCAAACATCTCCATTATTATTCCATAGAAGGAAAAAAAAGGTTGGGTTTGGAACAATATTAGGCAGAGTAGCCTAAATGATCACACAATGTGATTTTTGGCCAAACTACCCTTTTTAATTCCTAGTTACGCCTGTCCTGTCGAACAATGGCTAATTGTGCAAAAATGGTTAGCTTGAGCAAGAACAAAAATGATATGCTTGAACAAGTTAGAAAGGTGAACAAGACAACACTAATGCTAAGCCAGTGAAGTTCTGTGTTCCAGAGCCGAGAGCCAATGCCAGCTGGCAAATGCTTCAGATCCTTAATCTTTGGTTAACACGTCCATGTAGGCAACTTCTGCCCCACTTTTCAGCTCTACTTTCTGCAGAAAATCTCTGGTTCTCACATTCCATTTAATTTGATCAAACCATCAAGCTTTGTGTGAGCAACCTGCCCTTATGAAACCCTTTACCGACCAAAAATGCACCCGACTTGGCGACTTCCACTAGTTTTTTAGTGGAATGGATCAAGCAACTGATTTATTAAAGTCAGAAGCAGACAGGTGTTCTGATAATGATTTGTCTCTAACCCCACCCACTCAAAAAACGAAAAAGAATCTCCATCGCCTCAGGCTCTTTGACTCTCTCTCTCTCTCTCTCTCTCTCTCTCTCTCTCTCTCTCTCTCTCTCTCTGAGCCAAATCCCCAAGTGCTGATTTAGTGCAGAAGGAAAGAGGAGAGATGTGACAGTGGCAGAGCCGAGAAAAGAGAGAGAAAGAGATAACATTCTCCAATCATTAAATCATCCCCCTCTGCTATCTGCACATGAGTGTCACTCAGAGGGAAAAAATAAAGAGGTGCAAATGAAATATTAATGTGTTCCTTATTTTTGCTCTCTCTCTCTCTCTCTCTCTTTCTCTCTCTCCTCCTCTACTTCATTTTTTTGATTGTTATGATTGCTGTGCGTTCCTACGCTGTTAAGCCTGCAGGAAGGGTTGGTTGGTACATGTCAAGCTACTAAAGTATGCAAAATGGACAGCAGCCCTTTTGCTTATTAATTACTAACGGACTCCATGTTCTTTCATTCAACCGACGCTCTTTAATGTGCTTTCACTCTTGAATAAACTAATTTCTCAGTGCAAACACGTCAATAATCGGCCGGAGATTAACATGAATAGGTTTTGTTTCCCAAACAGTTCAATGATTTTTTTTTTTTGGCTGATCTTCTAGACTTTCACACGTGCTTGCTTGATAAATTACTCTTTCAGTTCTTCTAAAGTGAATAAATGAGGTGTGTAAAAGGGAGAGGAGTTAAAGAAGTTTTAAAGAGCATATCTGAGTGAGTTTCGGCATGCCCTCTCAGCTACTTGCTATCTTCAAACTGATACTTACCTAATTATACACACACACACACATGCACACACTCGCATGCATGGATATTCGCATACAGTCTTCTTCCCACCCTCTATCTCACGCCCCCATCAAACTAACCCTCCTTACCGACCGCCTGCTATCCACTTGCAAAGTACTGCTGTTGACACACAGGAATCCAGACCCACACACACACACACTCATGCTCTTTCTCCCTCCTTGGCAGGAAGGACTCTCCTCTGAACCAGACGATAGCTTGCACCTCTTTCTTTTTCCTCTGCTGGCAGGTGTTAGAAATTAAACCATAAATAAGTGCACGAGGGAGCCAGAGACAGCGCAAGAGAGCAGGACAAATGTCTGTCTTCATTTGTTGCTGGAGAGAGGGGGAAATATGAGGGAAAAGGAACGATATGGAGGATAATTCTGTGATTTTGAGTAGCTAGAACAGTTATTAGGGTTTTATTTGTCTGCTGTCAACTGTATTTTTGTGTGTGAAGGGGATTGAAGAGAACACTCGGATCATCTGGGCTCAAGCTGCAGCATTGTTGATTGAGTTTGAGTGCAGCTGAGGGGAAACAAAGTAACCGAGAGGAACACAAGGCAGTCATGGACACTAAAACACCTCAGCCACAATCCCGGATGACTTGGATTTGCACACTGGAGTTGGACCCCATCCAGCCCACAGTTCACTGATACAAATGAGGTACTGTTTTTTTTCTAAATCTGTGGAGATCTGTTGCATTTTAGATGATGTTTTGGGGAAAAACTGTATTTTGTGTTACAATATACAGTGGAACAACAGTCTGAGACTACACTGAAAGTCTTGGATTCATAATCTAATTTACTCTAGGAAATAAATGAAAGGTTTTAGGATTTTGAAAACAAAGAAACAATGCAATGAAGAAGAAACATTTCAGATTCTGATTTCTAGGTTACTAATCAAGTAAATTTGTAGCATTGATCATGTCAACTACTTTGTACAGACAGTCAGATGTTCTTGGTTCCACTGAAGCTCAAGAATCTGTTTAGATCATCTTTGGAGAACATGAACATCGGGTTTAACACAAACCTGTGGACTTCATGCAGTTTGTGTGCTGCAGTCATACTACGAAAGTATGAAATTCATATAAGTTTTTAAATTCAAGTTCACTCAAACTGTTGTTCATATGAAAATATTCCTAGTAAATGAAATGCATTTAAATTAAATGTATTATGTTTCTATTTTATACAGGTGCATCTAAAAACAATTAGAATATCGTGAAAAAGGTTTTTTTGTAACATTTCAAAAAGTGAAACTTTCATATATTCTAGATTCATTACATGTAAAGTAAAACATTTCAAACATTTTTTTTTTTTTTGGTTTAATTTTGGTGGTTAGAGCTTACAGTTCATGAAAGTCAAAAATCCAGTATCTCAAAATATTAGAATATTTCCTAAGATCAATCAAAAAAAGGATTTGCAAAACAGAATAGTTCAGGTTCTTTGAAGTATGTTCATTTATGCACTCAATACTTGGTCGGGGCTCCTTTAGCACAAATTCCATCATCAGTGATGTGTGGCATGGAAGCGATCAGCCTGTGGCTCTACTGAAACACTATTGAGCATTCACTACATGTACAGTAAAACATTTCAAAAGTTTTTTGTTTTAATATTGATGATATATGAGAGCTTACAGCTCATGAAAGTCAAAAATCCAGTATCTCAAAATATTAGAATATTTCCTAAGATCAATCAAAAAAAGGATTTGCAAAACAGAATAGTTCAGGTTCTTTGAAGTATGTTCATTTATGCACTCAATACTTGGTCGGGGCTCCTTTAGCACAAATTCCATCATCAGTGATGTGTGGCATGGAAGCGATCAGCCTGTGGCTCTACTGAAACACTATTGAGCCTTCAGCTCGTCTGTATTGTTGGATCGACTGTTTCTCATCTTTCCAAAACTCAAACCAAAACCAAAAATCTCCCGGTAGACAGCTGCATTGACTTTGGACTTGATAAAACACAAGGGACTAACACCAGCAGATATCATGACACCCCAAATCATCACTGACTTCGGAAACTTGACACTGGACTTCAAGCAGCTTGGATTCTGTGCCTCTCCAGTCTTGCTCCAGACTCCAGACCTTGATTTCCAAATGAAATGCAAAATTTACTTTAAACAGAAAAGAGGACTTTGGACCACTGAGCAACAGTCCAGTTCTTCTTCTCCTTAGCCCAGGTAAGACGCCTCTGACGTAGACGGCTGCATTGACTTTGGACTTGATAAAACACAATGGACCAACACCAACAGACGTCACAGCACCCCAAATCATTACTGATTTCGGAAACTTCACACTGGACTTCAAGCAGCTTGGATTCTGTGCCTCTCCAGTCTTGCTCCAGACTCCAGACCTTGATTTCCAAATGAA